CAGGCTAAATGCGGCATTTTACACCATATAATTGGTTAAAGACGCCGAATGGGGGTTAGGGCGAGTTAGCAAACGCGTTGATAATCCCCCGGTTAAATGCCACACCACTGTTTTTACTTAAAGGAGCAGAATTTGAAGCCAGTCTAGTGCAAAGGATGGTAAACTTTGAAATTAATTTCATTAGCAAGTTTCCTAATTTACTCTGTCATGTGCCGGCGTTTTGCAAAGAAAAATCGCCGCATGCCGTGACCTGGCATTTGCGAGGTGAGGTTGACAGCCGGAGAACCTCCGAAATGCCTTAGTAGTGGAAATTGTTTAATTGGCTAATTAGGAGAAGGTGAGAAAATCGTGAAATTCTGAAGAAAATTACAGAACGTTTCAAGATTAGAACGTCATTTAGGTACCACATACGAGAACAGTCCTTAAACTAGAATCACGTATTTGGTCAGATATATACAGAAATAAAAGATGTAAATACTGGTATAATCCTAGAACGCCCTCAGTATATATTAATCCCTAAATTAATACCGGTACAAAAATTACCGTAATTAAATACAGAAGAAGAACTTCTTAGATTATCTTGATGTAACTCAGGCGTTTGGCGAAGTTCTTGCATACCAATTCTAGCAAATTATCAAATTCTGTTCCTTCAAATGGACCTTTGAGAGTTAAACAGAACAATGCTTTTGGAATTAACTTATTCGGCAAAAATAATACTTTTATTCAGTAGGTTCCCAGACATCATTTTTTTAGTTGCATTATATTAGGTTTGAAATATATTTTGCCTTTATCAGAACGTGACTAGAGTGTACTTTTAATAAAAATCAGTTATATTTAACAAACTTTAATATGTTATCAGCATTATCAGCTTATACGGTGAGTCTCAGAAGTAATGTTTAAATTTATTTAAAATTCAGAGCACTGTTTTTTTGGAATAATACTCGGACCCGCCAATTTTTAATTATTGTTGCGATTTTTTATGCCAAATTTATTTATACAAGGTGGCCGAAAATTAACTACGACTATTAACTTTATTTATTATATTTTATCAAACGGAAGCACCTAGTTTTCATATGAATGTTCAAGTTTCCATTAGATTCGGGTAACAAAATGTGTGCCATTTACGCCTTGACTATATCTAAGGCAATCAATAAACTCTTCTGGAGTCTTAATGATTAATTTRATAAATTATTTTTTTAGCTTGTAAAATTTTGAGTGCTATTGAGATAGACGACAKGGTACSTGAAACAAATTTAKAATTCAATGGAGAATTTAAACTCTTTAAAAAATARGTKCGCTTATTTGGWAAAATTAAATTGTAGGTCATATCTGATTCTGGAACCACCTTCYATAAATAAATTTGGAAAAAATCGCAWTTACAAWTAAAAATTGAAGAGTCCGACTCCTTTTCCTGAAASCCRGCTACTGAATTGGAATTKAATTTAGACATTATCTYKGGAACTATKGACAGTGTATGAGCTTTCCAAAAAAGGATCAAAGTCTATTTTGTACTTTCCTCAAATGTGTAAGTGTTATTTRAAAGTCCACATTTTTCGAAWCTTTTCACAWTTGTCGATGWATGTTTTAATTAGAAARAGTCCAAAATRACATTTTYGTTYGATCTCCTACASATCTCTGCTTAGATTAGCAGATTTGAAGTTCGTCTTTGCTCCATCKAATTATATTTGAAACTAGTTAGTTTGAGCCCCCTCTCAATCTACATAAATARAAGTTTTACTCCATATTTTATACAAATAGTCACTRCACAATCGATAGCCAAACMGCATAGTCATTCTMTATCAACTTTCTAATACATGGAGTTAAAGTTTTCTTACAAAGTTAASTTAAATTATTCAAAAAAGTATATAATTTGTTGTTGCTAATGAAAAATTGGAAATTTATGTGATATTAAAGCCTYCGSTGACTRATYTTTGTTGCTGATTATTTTTATAGAAACTTTTTTATGGGAAGCTAYATGAAGGTTTTGAAGATTTGTTKTAGGTATACTTGTTTGATGTCAATAAAACGCCGCTTTATAAATTAACGCCATTTGAGCTGAAAATAAGATAWATGGACTTTCAAATCTRKTGCCAATTTTYTTTCACTCCCAGTATAAGCTGACGAATCATTTCGTAATTTTTTAGAACTTGTASAATYTYTWKWACTTGTRAAATTGTCAATTTTAATATTTATTGAAACGCAGAAGTTATTTAATGAAAGCGGTTTATGGAGATTAAGCAGAAAACATCAGGTATGTGGTGGTAAAAAAAGTCAGGTATATCATTAAACTTCTGCAGATTTTCAACAACAGAAACTGATTTTTAAACTAAAAATGTATTTATTTATAATTAGGTTAATGTATGACTGAGAAAATTGCGAGTGAAACTGATTTTACTTTTCGCAATGCCTATTCCATAGGTAGAGAGGGTTTATGTCATTATAAACGTTTCAAAATATGACTGGCGTAATACGTTCTTCCTGAGAATTCGGCTCGGTTAACTAATTTGGAGATTTAATATTTTATATTTTATTCTACTCTATATTTTCAAGAATATTATCCCCTCATTTATGCAACAATGTGCGTGTCAAAATTATGATTCATTCTTTTTGGATAGGAACGTTCCGCCTGCAAAGCAAACCAAGGAATCAGAATGCAAATAAAAATTTGTTTTTTAATGTTTACTCGCTCGTTTTTAATTATATTTTTAAGCAGTAAGCTTTATACAGTTATTAATTTGGGGTCAAAAAATATTTGCAAATACATTAAAAGTACTTAGTAGAGATTCTCGAGTATGATTTTAATCAATCTAAATATTCATTCATTCATTGCCTGAAAATCATATCAAAAAGTTGAGTTTAATTTAGTTGAGAGAAACGTGTTTTTTTTTAATTGAGGATATTACATTTATGAAATTGTTAAATCAATGCTAAATATTAAAATGTTAATTTAAAAATTGAAACCAGAGTATTGATTTAAGTGCTTGAAGTTTTTGCTGCGGAGTAATTTTGTGCACGAATGCAGGCAAAATTTATGGCGCTGCGGTAAAAAAAGATGCATTTAATTGAATTCGACCTATTGCATAGGTTGGTCGCATGTTTAAATAGTTACTGCAGTATATAATGCGGTTTTAAGTCAACCAACGTTTCGTTTTAGTGAACATGCGGTGGTAACAGTTGATTAATTGATTATTGCAAAAATTTGGTTTTATTGACTCCACTAACTACTGGCAAAATTAAACACTTCACCTAATATATCATGTAAAATAAACACGTTATTTAAAAAATTACTGAACACACTTTAAGACAAAGTGCAACATATTTCTTGGCGTAGTTTTTTAAGCATATTGAAAATTACCGCATCATTTTTTTGAGGCATTCCATACTGAGTCCCCGTGGGAAGAGCTTCATCTTCATGCTTCTTATGTTAGTTGGTAATCCTTAAAGCACCACTTTATACCCATCGACACCTCATACTCAATTCACGTATTCACACCCGAAAAGAATACTACAAACGCCATTATGTCAAAAAATAAGCCCCGATCTACAAAAAAGGCTTGGTCCCCTTTTTCCTTTCACACATGCGCTATATGGTTTCCTTTTTTATTTTTCTCATTTTACATTTCACCGTCTCTTTCGCTCTTTTTGCAAATTATGAATGTGCGAGAAAGATGCGAAAAATAATCGAGCATTTTCTGTCCATGGGGAGCGCTAAATTTTAGTCTCGGACGGATTGCATGGATATAGCTGTTCTTATGTAAGGGCTGGTGTTAACCGAGGATATAATGATGAATTATGCATGAATGAATTAGTGATTGGTGACATGTGAGGACATAACAATCAAATTACGGAA